GGGATGGCATCTTATTCAATATCTTTCAGTATCACATACAGGGTTTAAAACACAAAATGAAAAAAATATTACTGGTCCTGCCCAGAGAAATTTTTGCTGAGTAAAAACCTTTTAGAGCTATTGCAGGTAGGAAAATAAAATCTTTCTCAAATGAAGTTTATTGTCTGTCCCAACATTGTCAAAATTTCAAATCAGCTAGGTTCAGTCTCCTTCAAAATACTGAAAGACAGTATCTGATACACCAGATGATGTGGCTTATGCTGCATAATGTGTGTTGTCTTTGCTGTAGAAAATTTACTTTTCCGTAAAGCTCTTCCAGGGCTCTCAGCAGGCTATTTCCCATTTCAGATCTTTTAGAGTGAAATCAAAGATATCCATTTACAGTGAGTAGAGCATTCAGTGATCCAGTCAAATAGTATCAAGTCAGTGACAGGAAAGAATAACAGCATGGTCCTTCAAACACATGACATAATTCCTTATGGTTTCCCTACCTTAACATCATCTACTTTTTGATGCTAAGAAAACATCTAAAAAACAGTATCAGGTTCCCTCTGGAGTTCAAAATAGCATACACTTAATTTGAACCTGCTGAATGTCCTGAGTGTTTAGAATTACTTTGTGACTGTACACGTTCTTGAGATGTTCTTGATTGTATGTGTTTGTGGTAATTGAAAGAGTTAGATTGAAAGCAGAAATGGGAGGTTTCCTGATGTGCCAGTAGTCTGCCCTTGGTGATGTCTTCAATGATTCACTGTTGTGACATATTTGAACTGCTTTGCTGATGCATGCAGCTAACTGAATGGCACTGTTCCCTTAATGACTGAAATATGTGTGGCAGGGTAGAAGACTTGGAGAATGGCCTTCTTCAGATCACAGGAAGCCTGTGGTAAGTTATCATCTCTGAGTCTAGTAGAGGAACTAGTAGAGTTCTTCCAGAAGTTCTTCCAGAAGTTGCAATTAGCCCATGAAAAAACAATCTTCTGGTACGTAGGACTATTTCCCTTGGAAGGCGTGGAGACCATCACTAGGCAGAACATCTCTGATCAGCAAGAACTTCATCTCTGCTTAATTTTAATGACTAAATGTTTTCCCTGATATGGCTGAGAGTAAAAAGAAATATTTTTTTTAAATACTTGCTGTTAAAAGTTTAGGAGAGAAAGCTTTCTTACATAGGAAAAGTAGTTATTAGTTTAGACAACCAGCAAAATTAGGCCTTGGGCAACAAGACATTGCCAGAATTCTCTCTTCTCTGTTGCTCATATTCTGAAAATATTCTTTTTTCTTCACAGTAACTATTTACCAGTCATCTGAATTAAATAATTTCTAAATCTTTCAGGCACAAGAAAGATACCAGCTTTCAGATGTGTGTCTGCAGTCAGGTGCTGACATACATTTCTGTATAGCCATTCATTTCTATACGTCTTTCTTACTCCTAGCTCTGTCAGTGCTCTTGGTTACTCTGCCTTTCATCTCTTGCTTTTCCATCTTGAGAAAGCACGAAGTCAGCCTGTGTTGAGGTGCTACATTACCATTTACAGTAGAAGGCTTGTCTTGGACATAAATAGGCACTGTTTGTATGCAATTCCTGGGATTCAGTTTATCCCATAAAATTCACTAGCCATCCAGCTGTTGAGTAAGATGATATTCTTACTCACAGGTCAGAAAACACAGCATTGTCTTCAGCCTGTTCTCTTGTGCTTGAAGCATGGCACAGCAATTGATGGTGCCCTTGTTATTATTAATCCTTTATATATATTTTAATATATATATATAGAGAGAGAGAGCTTAAGACAAAGAAAAAAAAAGAGAGGGCAAGCTTACGAAATTAAATCTTTAATTAATATAATGGGAGACACTGAACCAGAGGCATAATAAGGGATAAAGCAAAAATTTCCATTGAATCATATATAAATATAAAATAAGATTTCACATTGGTGAATGTCTTCTTTGCAAAGTTAGGGAAAAGGTCTGTGCTGTACTGATTTAAGAGTTAGGAAATACCAGAGGTATTCTTTGGAAGCAATCTATAAAATATCATGTTGTTTGAAACATCCTTTTTCTTGCTTCCCACAAACTATATAGGTGCTCCGTTCAGAACTTATCTGCAGTTTTTCCTAAGAGTGTCTCCACGGATGTAAGGAAAGGTGAGTCTATGTAAGAAAAGTGACCTTTAGTTAGATTTTATGCCAGACATGTCATCATGTGCATCTGTTCACATTCTTATCTTTGCTTTATGTCCTGAGTATTTCTATCCTATGCCTTTAAATATTTATACTTTTGCCCAACAGATTTATTAGGTTTCAGGTACAAACCTCATTCATTTTTGTATGTGAACATTTTTCAATTTTAAATTATTTTCTGCAGTTTTGTCACCACTTGGAAACTCCAGAGCTCTGAAATAATGGATTCATCAGCCAAAATGACATTGGCCTCTACACAAGTTTCTGTGCTTTCTCTTGCATGATAAAGAACTTTACAAATAAATGTCAGGAAAACCTTGTTGTTCAGAGGAGAGATTTAAAAGGAGGTTGTAGCTGAGTGAGGGGAAAAGATTCCTTGCATTCTAGTACGAGGAAAAAAATGAGCAAGTGGTAGAAAGAAGACCTTGAATTTGGGGTGTTGCTTTGAGGTGCTCTGCAGAGTTCCAAGAAATAATTTGGCTTCATTTGTTGCTGAGGATTCCCTCTTCTTGACTCAAATGTTATTTGGAAACAGATACTGATGCCTTTTTTTTTTTTTCCCAAAGAAGGAAGTTTTCATGCAACTGTTGCTTCAAGAACTGAGCATGATTTAACATGTGCAAAATGACAGATGGTAAAGACTCAATGAAATATTTCGTGCATACACATATTGAACAAATACCTCATTAAAACAGTGCTATTGCTAAGATTGTGCTCTTGTTTTCTCTGTTTTACTACTCAGGTTTTTCTAAGTACTTCCTCATCTCTCTTTTTCATATGTCTCCCTTTTGCAACATTTAAGTCACACATGCCTTCAGAACACTGATGGAGAGAATCTCTCTCAAAGGAGAGCTGATGCTCAGATACAAATACTTAGAAATGTGGAGACTTTTTGGTGGCTAGAACGGTGTTTGCTACATCTCTTTACAGCTTCTCAGTGCAATATCTACAGAGAGCATATAATAAAAAGGTCTTCATTCATAAGCAAGGTCTTAATACTAATAAGCAAATTTTGTGGTTATCGCCAGCAATATTCTTGTGTAGAATGTCTTTTAAAATAATGCATCCTTGCACAGATGTTATAAATATAACACAATACAAATATTGCAGTGACAGTACTTTCAGTAATTAGGACTGAAAGGTATCCTTGATGGTTTCGTGGTTCTTTTTTGCCGATGATCCTGTTCTTGTTTTATGTTCACTGACTCTATTCTGAGACGGTACGCTCAGCAAGCGTTTGTTTCTTCAGCAATAACTTTGAAACCTAAGAAGCAGTATATTTCCAAATATCCTCTGAAGGATATTTGGAAAACTCTAGTAGGAGGAATGAAGAAATAATTGTTTTGGCAGCTGCATCTTGGTTGTATGATATTGAAGACTACTCAAAATCCTTCTGAAATAGGTGGAAAGATTTGCATTGACTTCAGTGACTTTAGAATCAAACCAATTAAAAGCTGATAGCCTCAAACTCTCTCCCTACCAGTAAAAATAATACCTATTACACTGGTAACTATCTCTCTTTCTGTGTTCTCCTTGCTTTTTTTCCAGATGTTGTGACAAGCACATGCTGTGTTTCTTTACTCTGACCCTGAAATAGATTTCTGCATGATATGTGCCTTAAGACACAATAGGTGATGCAGGAAAGCAAGCAATCTCTATTTTTATGAATGCTTTAAGGTTAATTGTCATTAATTGAAATTAATTGCTGATATTTTTATCAGTCACAATATTGTGGCTTTAAAACTCACTAAGAAAAGTATAAAAGTATTATTATAATCTACTTTTTCCTGTTTTGTTACTAGATTCTTTATTTGATCAACTTTATTGCCTCTGCTCCATGAGGAAGAGATTGCCTTGTGATAGGACTTCATTGTTAGAAAGCAAAGATTAACTTTCACCATTGATATAAGCAGGGAAATGTCAAGGACTTCTTTCATAATGGTGATATATTCCATTGTGCATGTTCACAGCCACTTGGTTTATAATATGCTTAGTCACAAATAAGTTGGCTGAACTAGTTTTTAAAATAATTAATTAACTAAAACTATTTTAATCCTCAGTTTGTCTGCTGAGGCAGACTTTATCCTTTCTAAGTGGCAGCACTAAGAGCTGAGTGACAGATATGACAAAGTTATGGTCTGTTTCCCAGTTTGCATTTAATCCTGCCTAAAAAAAAAAAAAAAAAAAAATCTTAGTATGATTTAAAAAAAAAGCAGAAAAGGAGGGATAAATTAAATATTTTTATTCAGATTACTTGAAAGTGAAATAAATGGCAAATCCAAGCACAGCTTGAAATGGAAAGTAAAAGTTCTAATTTACTTTTCTACAAAGGATTGTTTTACTAAATCAACTAGGTGATCCAAAAGAACACAGATTAAAAAACTCTTCACTGTTTCCTAAAGCACATTTTTTATGATAAGTGAGAAGTTTTCATAGTTTTTTTCCACTCAGCTGTACTGAAGCAAGGGATACTGCTGTAGTTTAACTTCAAGGTTACATTGTGGAAGCTGACCGGTGCATAGCTCAATATGAAAATAATTAGTTTCCAAAAGTTAAAATTTCTAACTGCGAGTGCAAATTCCTGCTCATGGAAATGCCACTGGATCTGCAGTGATGGTGCAGTATCTGATACTGCTATCATCCATCCTGCTTATTCTAAAGAGGAGAGCAGGAAGAGGGAAGATGTAGAAAGCTCACTCGTGACTTTGTGGCAGGGATTCAAGTAGGTTTATGTTTGCTGTTTGGGGATTTTGTGAATCCTTGCTTAAGCAAGGGGATTCTTTTCACTGTGTGGTCCAAACCACGGACAGACATGTTCCTTTGGGCTGGATTGCCCTTTGGCAGTCATAAAGGGTAGAACTGAGAACCAGGTATATTTGTTACTCTTCTCAGGCAGAGTGCACCACCAGCCCAGGCTTCCTTCTCACTGTTATGATCAGGTCCTTAAAATTATTAGAAAGATGCCTCTGCCTAAATTAAGGTGCAAACGAGACCATATGCCAAAGTCAATAGTACGGATTTTTATTTAGCAGTAAATGTCAGGTAGAGGGAGACAGAAAGAAACAGGAAAAAGAGAGAGGAGGAGGGAGAGAAAGTGCCAGAGAGATGGCTTAAGTAGGAAAAGTATCATCACTATGTGAATTCCAGCAATGTCCTGTTGGTCCTCTTCTTCTGGTCTTCTCAGTGGTGAGAGTCCCAGTTTTGTTGAGTTCCTTCCAGTCTTGTCTGGATCCTTCTAAGACATTGCAGCTGCCTGTTGAGTGAGTGCAATTAAATCCATCATGGCCCAGTGTGAACCATCAGCAGAGATGAATACCTTGAGCCTTCAAATGAATGTTCAGTACTTCTGAGTTCCCGGAGGGGAGTTAACACAGCTGAGTCATTTGTGTAAGGACAAAGAAACACTACCTACCTGGCAGGATGTGGCAGGATGTGCCTCTTTCCTTACCTTGTTGCACACCCAGCTTGCAGCCTGAGGTTTTCACGTCCTCAGCAGTTACTGGGCAGTTACTTTGCACATTATCAGCTTGCATGTTGATTGTCTGAGCCATCAGCATTCCAGTCTCTCTGACACTTTCTTCTGCTGGGATAAATGGACAATAGTACCACCTTTATCTTATCTCAAGTGCCCCTGACAGTCCAAATTAGTAGGCATATTCAGGATGGGGTGGGCAGTTGCTTCACTGAACAATTTGCTACAGTTGACAAAAGGTTTTCAGTGATTTTAATAATGCTTAAGCCATTAACCATTTCAGTCGCTCCCACTCACTGTGTACAACTCCTTGAATAAGGGGGAAAATAGAGAAAGTTTTAAACATGTATTCTGAAAAGAAATCAATTTGAGGCTTTGTATATTTCTATTAAATCCTCAGTGTAATTAAAAATGAAGCAAAGTGCTAACATTTGCACTTACTGTTTCAACTCTATACAGATTCATTAATCTTCATTCAAACATTTACTTACTGAATGATTCAAACTGTTAAACGTGAGCTTTTTTTACCAGTCAATTGAGTAAAGATTTTGTTTGAACACTTTCGAGGTCCCAGCATAGGTGACATTTTCTTCACTACTAGCATGTATACCTAGTTCAGAAGAGGCTTGAAGCTAGAGAGCTTGTAAATAACACCACAATAAGCAGGACACTTCAAAGGGAGGGCATATGGAAGTTTTTTTGCATTTTTGGAATGGTTTAAAAGAAAAGATAACTCTGAAAAACCAGGAAAAGAATTAATCTTGACTTAAATAGTCATTCAATAGAAGTTTTTTTTTCTTTCTTTGAAAAATCACCATCTTAGCAAATTCAAAGCTGTAACAAACAACTGGGGTGATCGAATAGAACTAGAAGAGCTCTAAAAGGGGCATGCACAGTAAAGCTGTTCCTGAAATAAACTTGAGACAGAGGAAAACCAGTTTTCATAACTTGATTTCTTGGAGTAGAAGAAGGAAGAAAGTCACTCAGGTACATGGGGGAAAAGATAGAAGGTTTGTTATTTTAAGATTTTCCATTATTTTCCTACAGCTTTTCTTTGATGTTCAGGCAGCAGCCTGACAAATGGAGGTTCTGAATATTGCCAGAATGACCAACTTTCAGGTTCTTGTTCTCATCATAGAGAGGACATGCACTTTAGCAATAATTTCAAATCTTCATGGCAGCAAATTGTTTCAAGATGATTTTTCTCTGACCCATTTAATTTTGCCTTTGGGAAATGTCAGGTGTGCCTGCTAAAATAAGGCCACAATTCAGCAAGCTTTATATACCACAAACTGAAGGAAAAATATCCCTGCGTTCTGTATTATTTCACCTTGTTTTACAGGTTTGACACAGAGGCAAAATATTAATTACCTCAGTATTGATTAAATTGCTATGATTATCATTGTTACCTTTCAGTTCTTAGCTTTGCTAACTGATATTGAGCATTTCTTAATGCTAATACTGGCAAACTTTTAAGGCTACTTTGAAGGAAAATGAGAATCAATAATGGATCTTCAGTGTAGTGACAAAAGAAAATCCTTTCTGAAAACCAGAACTAGCATGTGAGTATTGACTTGTAAGTACATTGCTACAATGCTTTCTTTGCTCTTCCTTTCACAAATCCATTTTAAAATCCTACTAAACTTTTAAACATTCAGAATTCTTCATGCACTGAGTAAGCAGAAGCAAACCAATGAAAGCAGCTGCATCTGATGGGAAGGCAGCAGACTGTGAGTGCATAAACGCTGCTGGCTAAAGAAAGGGTACCTTGGGAATTTAGAGGATTGATCTGATGGTGGCCCCTCTCAACAATCACACCTGTCCACCCACAGACTCTGGGTAGAATTCCAAACACGGCAGACTTATCTTTATGGCAGTGACAGTAAAGAGTCAAGTTTGCAATGGCAGTCACAAATGATGCAAAAGGACAAAGTGTCAATCCTGATCCCACTAGAGCTGGTGAGACTCCACCAGAGAAGTATTTTTGGAAACTCCACCTGTACCTTGCTGTCAATGTGAAATGCATATTTTGAAGTCTATTTTCTTGCCATAATAAACCTCTTGAGAGTGCAGGAAGAAAATATTGCCCATAAGAAAAGAAAGCCTTAAAAAAGTCGGTAATGAAATAATGGCAAGCTAAAAACCAACTCAGAAAATCCAATGCATAATGAGGAAAGAAGCAAAGCAGAGGTACTTTAAAATAAAAGTTGAATATTAAAAGAGAAGCAATATTACTATGACCTTTACTGTATAGCTCTTTGAGGTATGTCATCATGGCCATTGCTTAAGTTTTGGCTGCAGCACATTCACTTTGATCTCAGTTAATTAGGGCAAAGAAGTACTTTCTTCCCCCTAATTGAACAGTTTCCTCCCACAGGCACCACATAAGACAGTAGATTTGCAGTCATATCAGTAGGAGAACTTTGCTTAATAAAAGGTAACAAAAGCTTTCAACAAAGTGCCAGGCAGTTCAGTACCCAATTCTCCAGACTGCAGAGGCTACAAGGTACTGAAGCCAGGTGCAAGTATTCTGACTGATTAGGAAAGATCCTAGAAAGATACCAGAAGGTAAATGTCATCAAAAAAAGCAAGTACCAGCAATGGACTAGTGCTTAGCACAAATTTCTGCATGAGTCCATTAATCACATCAAGGGACACTTCCATCCTTAATGGCATTATAATGAGCAAAAGCTTAGTATTTAACTAACTTCAGCAATTGATTATACTTGTGGAGAATTTTAATGTATTACTAATGCAATACAAATTGCTGGAAATAAATATGTACAGTAACCAACTGAGATTTGATTATTTGGTTTCTATTTTTGGTAGCAATAAGATTTTCAAGTACAATAGTAACAAAGTCAGACATCAGTATGTTCTCCAAGACACATTAAAACAAATATTTCACTAACAGCCCTTAATTTGCTGCCACAAGATATAATGGGTGATGAATAAATGATGAATAAACATTATCCAGGTCTTGCTGCTTCAGTAACTTGAATGAAATCTAATACTTTAAACAGTGATCTCTAGTTTTTCCACTCTATTAGGATGCTACAAGCAACATCACATGTTGCCTTTCCAGTCAGCCTATGAGATGACATAGTTTCACAAAATGGGAAACATGAGCAACCAGAGAGGTTCTTGTGGGCCTCTGCAAGGCTTTAGTTATAGTTGTATAATCTGTCTCTCCTTTTTTCTCCTCTCTCCTTGCTTATCTTCTTCTCTTTGCTCCTTTCTTGATGCTTAGAGTGGTTTGGAGCTGGAAGGATTGGATCTTGATTTAAGTGTTGTGGAATTGGTTGGATTTTGGCTTGAGTGTTGTGGATTAATAGTATATGCTGAGTCAGTATTGTGGTGGAACATTTTGTGTGGTGTCCTTTGGCCAAGTCCCCTTATCTACTCCCCTAAATTAACAAAGAAATTCCTTGGGAACAAGCCCATCACTTATTCTCTTAATGCTATCTCGAGGTATTAAAGAACCATATATCTGTATATTAAAGTAAAACTCATAGCTGTGAGCTGGCAGCTCCGGGGGCTGGAGTTTTACAAATACTCATAACACTCTTGTTGTGGGAAAACAAGTTAGCCAACACATGTAAAAGATGACATCTTGTGAATAAAGCTGCATAAACCTCTTTCTTAAACATACCTCTTTTTAAGTAAAAGAATCTAATTAATGAATGTTTCCCAATACATTGTATCTTATGCTCCTAGTTAAGTATTTATGACACAGTTGCAGTGTTCCTATGATCCTAGTTGTCTTACAAGTATTTTAGAAAATTGCTCAGTGTGACAAAATTAAATTGCAATTCTCAAATAATCTCTAAACATTCTCATGAACCTTAAAGTGTTTGTAGTCCAAGAAATAAGGATGTTATACCTCATTACAAAACCAAATGTCTTTCTGTATTTGTTGTTTTGTTGTCTGGGGTTTTTTGTATCTTCACTGCCCACAGTTTCCCAACAGAAAGGCATCTCCAGGTATATATTTAGATAATGTATTATTTTATAATATTTACGAATAAGAGAAAACCATTATGGAAAGACTACATAATACAGTTGCCTATGACACTAGAGGACTGAATTAAGGAGTTCCCTCAGTTAGCTTGTATTTTGATGTTCTGTTCCTTGCTACAGCTTAACTAACATGAATCCTACATATGAAGACTGCATAGGAAGCCCTGTTTGGAACAGCGTGTCTTTCATCAGGGATGGATGACTGGACTTCCTGAGGGGAAGAAATATATAGGGAGGAAAGTTGTATGGCTAGTTCTCATGCAAATATTGAGCATAGAAACAGCTGGGATATGCACAGAAGACATGGAAATAAGATATATTATTGTCAAAAGGGATGAAATATAGGATAGATACACTTTTCTATGCTTCTCTCCTAATTTTTCATGGAACTAATACTTATGGAATAAAGAGCTATTTGGACAATCTTGAGGGCATGCAAACAGAGAAACTTCATCCAAATTAAATTTAAAAGAACTTTCATACAGGCAGGTCAGAAAATGTGAAGAGTGAGATTCTGAAGAAAATGGGCTGTCATAGATCCCAGTAAAGTATGGAGAAAGTGTCAGATGTAAACTTTCATTAAAGGTAAGATATATACAAGTTTATAATGTTAGTTGCTTGAATAAAAAATCATTTGTTTATATCTATTGTACTTAATAAATAGATTTTGCTGTAAAGATTATTACATTTTTTAAATTTACTTTTGCTGAAAGCAACTATGAAACCAATTTTTCTGAAGTAAGTGGAGGTTTTAAAACATTTGAGGACTAAGAAATAGTGAGTATTTCAAAGTTTCTGAAAATCTGAATGGTTAAACTGAGTGCACGATTGCTTATATTATAAAGTTCCTTCCACCTGAAGTCTGACAATAACTCTTCCAGCGTAATGGTCCTTTGCTGTCAGTGGAAAGATTTCCTTCAATCCACATACCTTTGTGAATGGTTGCTTTCAACATAAAAATACTGGGTTTATATATTTTTTTCTGTTGCTTTTAGCATTAGAGCTTGGAGGTAAGGTTATCTTCTGCTGCATCATAGGGTTGTTCTTCTGCTGCATCACAGGGTTGTTCTCCTACAGCTGAGATTCATTTC